CCAAAACCTGCTGCAACCACCCAGCAGCCGGGGGGGGGGGAGGGATAAAAACCAAACACCCCCCCACCCCACCCCCGCTGCCAATCCTCAACAGAAATGCTCACAACAATGGAAACCTCGGACAGGAGGAAGAGCGCGGCCGGGCGGGCAGGCAGGTGTCTTGCTCGGCTGTGCCTTGGGGGGCACTTTTTTCAGTGCCGTTGTAACTTTGAACAGTCACTAAGCGAAAACTGTTGTAAGTCGAGGACTACCTCTACTTTATCACTTTTTTTCTTTTTTTTCTTTTTTTTGGTCATCACGTTTTTGACGCCTTGCTAGGCAACTGGTGGTCCTCGGATGTTGCCGTATCCTAAAAGTGGTACAATGGGTGGAAAGGTTGAAAAGCCCTGGACTAGACGACCTCCACGGTCCCTTCCAACCCCGTTATTCTGTTAGATCAGCCATGCCGTGATGTCATCTGTGAGGGGACGTCATGAATGCTCCCCCCCTCCAGTTTTGGATGGAAGGGACAAGTAGAAGCCCACCGACCCTCATTTCCGCTTCCAGCCTCGCGGAGGCCAGCGGGACCCTCCATGGATCCCGCCCCACACCCCCCCTGACTCAGTTTCCCATCTTGTTTTGGCAGCGCCGACTCTCGTCCCTTCGGCTGGAATGCCCCGGATCCTGTGCGTACAGGGACAATTTGCCTGCGAGACCTTGGGTTGCGTGGAAGCGGTATTTGTGTGCGATGGGCAGCAGGATTGCCTGGACGGCTCCGACGAGGCCCACTGTGGTGAGTGCGCTCCCAGCACCGGCACAGCCGTCGGTTAGTCCCGTTGGCGCTGGGCTCCTGTTGTGTTCAGGACAGCGAGAGGCTATAAGGCTCTCCTCCGGGCTTCCGGGGTGCGACTGCCGTGTTTAGCTGCAGGGGTTCCCAGAGAAGAGTTTTGTTGTTCGCTTTCATCGTGCGGTTGGGTGGTCGGTCCAAAGATCTTTGGGTTGATGGGTTCCAAGTACACACATGGAGGGGGGGGTACTTCACATGGAGTCCATCTGGGAGGAGGAGGAGGAAGAGATGGAGGGAGAGGGGGAGGAGGTCGTAGTGGAGAAGGAGAAGGAGGAGGAGGAAAAGAGAAGGAGGAGGAGAAGGAGAATAATGAGAAGGAAAAGGAGATGGAGGATAATGAGGAGAAGACAAGAGATGCAAAGTAGGAGAAGGAGAAGGAGAAGGAGGAAGAAGAGGAGGTGGAGGAGAAGGAGAAGGAGGAGGAGGAGAAGAAGGAGGATAATGAGGAGAATAGATGAGAAGGAGTAGGAGGGGAGGAGGAGAAGGAGAAGAAGATGGAGGATAATGAGGAGACGAAAAGGAGGAGAAGGAGGAAGAGGAGGAGGAGGAGGAGGTGGTGGAGAAGGAGATGGTGGAGAAGGAGAAGGAAGAGGAGGAAATGGTGGAAAAAGAGGAGGAGGATAATGAGAAGGAGAATAGATGAGGAGAAGCAGAAGGAGAAGGAGAGGAGAAGGTGGGGGTAGAGAAGGAAGATAGTGGAGAAAGAGGAGGAGAAGATGGTGGAGGAGGAGAAGGAGGAGGAGGATAATGAGAAGGAGACAATAGATGAAGAGGAGGAGGAGGATAATGAGAAGGAGACAATAGACAAGGAGGAGAAGGAGAAGAAGAAGGAGGATAATGAAGAGAATAGATGAGGAGTAGGCGGAGGAAAGGAGAAGGAGGAGGAGGAGGAATATAATGAGAAGGAGAAGAAGATGGAGGATAATGAGGAGGAGACAAGAGGTGAAAAGTAGGAGAAGCAGAAGGAGAGGAGGAGGTGGGGTGGAGAAGGAAGATAGTGGAGAAGGAGGAGGAGGAGGAGAAGATGGTGGAGGAGGAGGAGAAGAAAGAGGAAGATGAGAAGGAGACAATAGATGAGTAGGAGAAGGAGAAAGCGGAGGAGGAGGGAATATAATGAGAAGGAGAAGAAGATGGAGGATAATGAGGAGGAGACAAGAGATGAAAAGAAGGAGAGGTGGGGTGGAGAAGGAAGATAGTGGAGAAGGAGGAGGAGGAGGAGAAGATGGTGGAGGAGGAGGAGAAGGAGGAGGAAGATAATGAGAAGGAGACAATAGATGAGTAGGAGGAGAAGGNGGGGGAGTGGGAGAGGGGGAGGAGGAGCCGTGGACCCTCGCCCCCACCTCCGCCCCCACCCGGGACCTCCCCAAGGCGCCGCTCCCGGGCTCCGGTGGGCATTTCCCGCGGGAGATGGGGCGGCATCTGCCCTGGTCTTGCCACCGATATTTTATTCGCCTTCTCCTCTCTGCTCCTTCTGATTCTCTTGCTTCTCTTCCTCCTCTTCCTCCTCCTGGTCCTGCTCCTCCTGCTGCTCCTCTATCCCCTCTTCCTCTTTCTTCTATTCCTCTTCTTCCTCCTCCTGCGTCCTCTATTCCTCCTCCGGCTGTTGCTCTCCTCCTCCGCTTCCTCCTCCCCAACTCTTTCTCCTCCTCCTCCTCTTTCTCCTCCTCCTCCTCCTCCCCTTCTTCTCTTCCTTGTCCTTTTCCCCTTCTTCTTTCTCCTCCTCCTCCCCCTTCTCCTCTTCTTCTCCTCCTCTTCCTCTTCTTCTTCGTCCTCCTTCCTCCTTTTTCTCCTCCTGTTCCTCGTCTTCCCCTTCTTCTCTTCGTCGTCCTCCTCTTCTTCCCCTTCTTCTTTCTCCCCCTCCTTTTCCTCCTCTTCTTCTTCTCCTCCTCCTTCTCCTCTTCCCCTTCTTCTTTCTTCTCCTCCTCCTGTGTCTTCTCTTCCTCCTCCTGCTGCTGCTCTCCTCCTCTGCTTCCTCCTCCCCAACTTTTTCTCTTTCTCCTCCTGCTCCTCCTCCTCCCCCTTTTCTCTTCCTTGTCGTCCTCTTCCACTTCCCCTTCTTCTTTCTCCTCCTCCCCCTTCTCCTCCTCCTCCTCCTCTTCTTCTTCTCCTCTTCCCCTTCTCCTCCTTCTTCCTTTTTCTCCTCCTGTTCCTCCTCCCCCCCTTCTTCTCTTCCTTGTCCACTTCCCCTTCTTCTTTCTCCTCCTCCCCCTTCTCCTTCTCTTCTTCCCCTTCTCCTTCCTTTTTCTCCTCCTGTTCCTCCTCCTCCCCTTCTTCTCTTCCTTCTCCTCCTCCTCTTCCCCTTTTTCTCCTCCTCCTCCTTCTCCTCCTCTTCTTCTTTTTCTCCTCCTCTTCTTTGTCTTCTTCTTCCTCCTCCTCCTTCCTCCTTTTTCTCTTGCTCCTCCCCTTCTCCTCCTCCTCCCCCCTTCCCCTTCTTCTTTCTTCTCCTCCTCCTCCTCCTCCTCCTCCTCTTCTTCTCCTCCTCCTCCTCTTCCCCTTCTTCTTTCTTCTCCTCCTCCTCTTCTTCATCTTCTTCTTCTTCCTCCTCCTCCTTCTTTCTCTTTTTTCTCCTGTTCCTCCTCCTCCCCTTCTTGTTTTCTCCTCCTCCTCTTCCCTTTCTACTCCACTTCCTCTTCTTTCTCTTCCTCCTTCTCTTCTTCTTCTCCTCCTCCTTCTTCCTCCTCCTCTCCTTCCTTCTTTTTCTTTTCCTTCTCCTCCTCTCCTTCTCCTCCTCCTTCTCTTCCCCTTCTTCTTTCTTCTCTTCTTCCTCCTCCTCCTCCTCCTCCCTCCTCCCTTTTCTCCTCCTGTTCCTCCTGCTCCCCTTCTTCTTTCTCCTCCTCCCCTTCTTGTCCTCCTCCTCCTTTTCCCTTTCTTCTTCCTCCTCCTCCCCTTCCTCTTCTTCCTCTTCTTCTTCTTCTCCTCCTCCTCTTCCCCTTTCTTCTTCTCCTCCTCCTCCTCCTCCTCTTCCTCCCCCAGTGGACTGTATCCTGTCTCCCTGGAGCCCCTGGAGCGAATGCAGCCGATCTTGTGGGCTGGGCGTCACCTTCCGGAGGCGCGACCTACTCCGCAACGCTCTCCCGGGTGGACGTTGTGACCGGGATGAGTTTGACAGCCGGTCCTGCTTCCTCCGGGCCTGTCCAGGTACTCCTCGGCTTTCCTGCCCCTGGCACCAGTTGTGGGTTGACCCCAAATCCTTCCTCTCCCCCCCCTTCCCCATTCCTAGACTTTCCAGAAACCGGGACTCCACCGGAACCCTTGAGAAAAAAACCTCAAGCTAATATTTTGAGCCAGTTTGGTGGAACCGCATGAAATGCTGAATATTCCATATTTTACTTCATATTTTGAAGTATTTTGATCCCGTGACCCCGGGACGCTGCGACCGTCGTAAATACGAGTCGGTTGCCAAGTGTCTGAATTTGGATCGCGTGACTCTGGGACGCTGCGACCGTGATAAATACGAGTCGGTTGCCAGGCGTCTGAATTTTGATCGCGTGACCCCGGGACGCTGCGACCGTCATAAATAAGAGTCGGTTGACAAGCGTCTGAGTTTTGATCGCGTGACCCCGGGATGCTGCGACCATCATAAATAAGAGTCGGTTGCCGAGCTTCTGAATTTTGATCACGTGACCTCCGGGACGCTGCGACTGTCATAAGTACAAGTCAGTTGTTAAACATCCACATTTTGGGTCAAATGACCACAGGAATGCAACAGTCGTAAGTGTGAAAACTTACTTTTTGCAGTGCCGTTGTAACTTCAAACGGTTGCTAAATGAACCGTCGTAAGTCGAGGACTCTCTGTATTGGTGCCTATCCAACAGTTGGGAACTCAGAGCTTTATGGCTGGACTGCCGCTCTGCACACCCATGGCTTCCACCAGTGGTCCTCGACTTACGACTGTTTCTTTAACAGGCCATTGAAGTTACGGGGGTTGTGAAAAAAAGGGACGGTCCTCACACTGAGGACTGTCCCAGCATCCCCACCATCGTGCAATCGAAACCCCAGCCCGATTCCCTTTAAGAAGGCCGGCGATTCCCTTCAGAACCCCGGCCCCAAACCGATGGGAAAATTGAGCCCAAGCTGCGGAACCGCCGCCTTGCTTAGCGACGGAATTTCCCTTCCCAACGGGCATCGTAAGTCGAGTCACCGCGTTCGGTGACTCCTTGGCAAAAGGTTTGGGAAGAATGCGAAAGTCAGATCCAAGAGGCCGAGGCAGAGCGTGGTTTCCCCGTAGGGAGATCAGGGGAGAAACACGTGCTGGCTTTCCTAAGGGCGCTTCCCGTCTCTAAAGTATCTCCTGGTGGTGCCCTTTCTGCTCAAGAATATCATTCCCTGGACGATTTGGGGGTTGTTACCCTCGAAGGAAGCTGACTGGAAGTGAATCCAAGCCAGGGGGAAGCTGGCGGCCGCTTCCCTCAGCTGGTTCAGGTAGCCCACGACTTAAAACGGTTCATTTACTGACCGCTACAACGGCACTGGAAAAAAGGGCCAATTTTCACACCGGGGCTATTTCCGCCTGCTTTTCCCTGCCACAGTGAACGGAGCCTGGGCCTCCTGGGGCGAGTGGTCAGACTGCGACGCCGAGTGCCGGGGGGGCGTGAGGAGCCGTACCAGGGCCTGCGAAGACCCCCCACCCAAGAACAGCGGGCAGCTCTGTCCCGGAGATGCCGTGCAGATGGAAACGTGCAACCAACAGCCTTGCGGAGACGCCCGGGGTGAGGAAAGGGAGGTCACTGGGGCTGAGAGGGAGAAGCAGGTGGGGAAACAGAGGGTAGAGGCTTCAATCGGGATCCAGGACCCCCCCCCCTTCTTGGAAGAAGCACTCTCCACGTGCCCAGAGAGCAGCAGATACGAATCTGCCAGGTGTCCCGTGGGCATTTCCAGAAAAAGAAATTCTTGGGACATGATTTGAACAAGCGTATAATCTTTTACTGAAAGTTTACATTGGCACGGAAGCAAAACCAGCTCTGCTTTTCCCACTCAAAAGCTTAGCTAATGAAACAATCGATTCTCTTGCTCCCACCCACCAGCTGTTCCTATTGTCCAATAGTAGGAGTTCTTCTTGTGATGGAAACAGCTCGCTCCTCCATTGAGCATCTGAATCCATGGCCTTGAGAGTCTCCTTCTTGAGCAGGGAGTTGGACGAGAAGATCTCCACGGCCCCTTCCACCTCGGTCATTCGGTTAGTTCTGCTCTTTTACAGCCCTCGTCTTTCTCCACAGACTGCGGCCCAGACATGGTCTTCGTACAAGCCGGGCACTGTGCCCGCGGCCTGGTGGACCCTTGCCCGCAGACGTGCCGCCAGCTAAGTGTCTGGAGGACCTGCCAGAGCAGCTGCGTAGAGGGTGAGCCTTGAGTCTTTGGCGGGGGGTGGGTGGGTATCTTTGCACCCCCCTTCTTCGCATGTACCTAATGTCCCTCCGTCGCTGTGAGTCTTTGCAGGTTGTCGCTGCCCCCCCGGTCTCTTCCTGCAGGAGGGAGGCTGTGTGAACATCAGCCAGTGTCACTGCTTCTTTGACCAGGACCACCGTCGTCCAGGAGAGATCTTCCTGAGGGACAACTGCAGCCAGTGGTGAGCGGGATGGATCCCCAGTGTGGGCAGACCCCATCCCTTCCTCTGCGGAACTGTTTACTCTAGGAAGTGGTGAACCTGTGTGCCTAGAAGCTGGGACCTTCTTGGAGACTGTTGGGGGGGGGGGTTTCCCACCTGGGGAACGGTGAGGAAGATCCCTGCATGGGACCGGACAAGGTTCAAACACCTCAATTTTGGGATTTCCCAAGGGCAGGCTCCGTTATAGAACTATATCTCTGGTCCCCATTTTCTCTGTAGCTGCCCCGATGGGATAATCTCCTTGCTCTTGGGAATCAATAAATCTTTGCTCACCGCTGTCTCGATTTCATTTTTATTTATTCTTGTGCAACCCTGGCTTGAATTGGAACAGGGCCAAACAGGCCTTTTCTCCAAGCTGACAAGCTTGTTGGGCGGGGCTCCTGCCTTTGCTGTGTCTCTGCAGGAAGCAGGCAACCTTAAACACTCAAAAGAGCCACTTGGACCCATTTCCCACAGAAAGAAAAACACTGGGAGATGCAAAACTTGGGCGCGCGTGTGCACGCGCCGGAGAGGGGGCATGATTGAAGAGCTTAATTAAAAAGAAATAGAGGGTGCTGTGCATAAGTTCTCCCTCTCCCTCTCTCCCTCTCTCTCTCCCTCTCTCTTTCTCTTTCTCTCCCCCCTCTCTCTCCCTCTCTCCGATTTTCTGCTCACCTGGCAAGCTGGCTTCACGCTGTTCTCCGACAAGCTGACACACATTCTTATTGGGCTGGCTCTCTCCTGCCCTTGGTCTGCCAGTCCTCTTCCCCCACTCAGTGTGAGATGTGTGTGTGTATGTGTGTGTGTGTGTGTGTGTGTGTGTGAGAGAGAGAGAGAGAGAGAGAGAGAGAGAGAGAGGGAGGGAGGGAGAGAGAGAGAGAGAGCTGCTGCTTGCAGCTTTCTGCTGCTTCCTGTAGAGATGCAGCAAAGGCAGGAGCCCCACCCAATAAGCTTGTCAGCTTGGAGAAAAGTGTGTGGCCACTCTCTTTTCACACACACACACACACACACACACAGAGAGAGAGAGAGAGAGAGAGAAGGGAAGCGCAAGTGCCTCTCTCTGTCTCTCTCTCTCTCTCTCTGTCTCTGTCTCTCTCTCTCTCTCTCTCTGCAAATGGCGGAGGAGGACTGGGAACCGTAGGAGAAGGCTCAAAGAGCCACATGCAGCTTCGGAGCCGGGGGTTGCAGACCCGTGAGTTGGAACATTCTGTGGCCCCTATCGGAAGAATAATTTGGAGTCCCAGCTCAAGCTCGCGCAAGAAGAAATCGAAAGGAAAGCCGAGCTGCTGTGAGGAGAGGACATTTATTTCTTCTTCCCCCAAAGCAAGGAGATTTGCCTACGGGGGGCAACTACAGAGAAAACGGGGGACAGCGATATAGTTTTAGAGGGGAGCCCGTCCTTGGTGTGGAAGTGTGTACGTGTTGAGAAGGGGCTGATTAAATCAAGCGAGGTCGATTGAGTCTCCTCATTTGAGTCGTGAGCACGATAAGGATGCTCACATCGTGTTGAGTTTTGTGTGTTTGCTTGGGCGTGTTTACAATTTAAAATAAGCGTGTCGTTGATTCTCGTGTTTGCAGTTAAGTTTAAGGGATTTTGGAAGCTGGTAATTAATAACATTGTTGGAGACCTTGAGTAGTTAACATACGATTCCCTATACCAGCCTTTCTGGCTTGGTGGCCCGAAAGAAAAGGGAGGAGCAGGGAAATGTGCAGCACACATTTGGACATACGCACAGCGGTGGCGCAAATGGGTGCATGCATGCACAAATGGGCTACTGCCACCCATGCAACTGGGCCTCTGGCACCCACGCGCATGCATAAACGGGCCTCTTGTGCCTGCACGCCTGTGCAAACGGGGCGCCCATATGATGCTGGTGGAGGTGCTAGCGCACCTGTGCATGCGCAACCAGAGCAGCTAGCGGCCGCGCAGCAGCACTACCACAAGTGGGGGGAGCTCGCTAGCTATTTCTGCAGCCCAGTGGCCAACACGCCACAGCCCGGTACCGGGCCGCTGACCGTAGGTCGGGGGACCCTTGCCCTATACAATAATTTTTAATACAATTAAATACATTTATGATTCTTCCCACACACCCCAAACCGTTTCTCTGGGGCCCCAAAGCAGAAGCGAGCCGAGCTGAGCATCGGCCTACAGGAGGGTGCTTAAACTCCGTTTCGTCCTCACGCAGCGTTTGTCTGGATGGCACGGTGACCTGTGACTCGGTGGCCTGCCCGGTGAAGTGCGGCTGGTCGGCTTGGTCTCCGTGGACCCCCTGCAGCCGGAGTTGCGGAGTTGGGATGCAGCAAAGGTTCCGGTAAGAAACGGAACATCCTGCTCGGCATCGGTTCACCCGGGAGTCCTCGGCGAGGCTGAGACACTATCTTGGGTGGGACCCCTCGGGATCCAGTGGAAGTCGGGCGCAGAATTGGGTTTTGGTTGTGCCGCACAGGAGGAGGAGTGTGTTTGTTTGTTTATTGGTAGTCCTCAACAACAGTTCATTTAGTCCATTGTGTGTAGCATCCTGCAGTCACGTGACCGTGTTTTACAACAGCTCTGTCGTTCCGTTAGAAAAACATAACCCTGGCGTTTATTTCCATTTTTCACAGCATACCGTCGGTTCCCTTAGCGACTGCGGCATTTTCTTAACTGCGGTGTCACTTTACGACCGCAGCAGTCGCTCAACGCGCACCACAAACAGGCTGCAAAACCCAGCTGGTCACACGGGTGACCCTTGTCACAACTCTCACGACTTAACGACCGTGATGGACGGTCGTAAACGGAAGGCTGGCTCTATACACTACCATGCCCCAAAAGTAGATTGGAAACAAAAAGTCCCTTGATACCGTCCTCTTTCTCGGCAGGTCTCCCTCCAACCCGGCGGCAGCCAACGGGGGCGCCCCGTGCCAAGGAGATGCCCAGGAGGTGCGCGAGTGTCACACAAGCTGCATCACAGGTAAGAGCAACGGTAACAGCTGTTGTCACTTTCTGCAGGGCGGAGCCCTCTTGTTTATTTCGCACGGCATAGCAGAATACAGCGTTTATGCCAGGGGTCATAATGGACGAGAAGCGAAACGTCTTCAAAGAATAATAAGAAAGTCCCGCGAGGACACAGATAAGCCTCCAAGTGGCCTCCACGCCTCTCTAAAAGAATGCAAATGACCAGTTTTTCTGCAAGGAGTATAAATCCTTCCACTCCCTGCCATCCAGTCAGAGCTGAAGAAGCTTCTTGGATGAGAAGCGAAACGTCTTCAAAGAATAATAAGAAAGTCCCACGAGGACACAGATAAACCTCCAAGTGGCCTCAAAGGCTCTCTAAAAGAATGCAAATGACCAGCGTTCTTCAAGGAGTACAAATCCTTCCATTCCCCACCATCATTTTTCCCCGTGAAGATTTCCTTCTCGTCCAAGAAGCTCTGATTGGATAGTGGGGAATGGAAGAACAGCTGGTCATTTGCCTTCTTTTCGAGAGTCGTCGAGGCCACTTGGGGGTTTACCTGTGTCCTCGGCATCACCTGAGCAGTGCAGATGTGTGTGGAGCCTTCTTGGCTGCAGCATGTTTTTCTGCCCTGCGTCCCTTCCCTGTTGACGACAGTCGCAGGCCGTTGGGGGACGAGACTGTGTTGTCGGCATCACAAACTGAAGCACAAAACGGTTCCTGCTGTTTGAGATGTTTTCCGGAGATTCGTTCATTCTCCCGCACCATTTGGAGGGGGGGGTGTCATCCCAAAGTGCATAGCTAAATGTCTCTGAGGTGCCGGCAACCACAAACGGCGAAGTTCAACCACGCCGACGTCCGGAGGAAGCAAGCCGCGCTCTCCACGATGGACGCGTTTCCAGAACCTCAAGGCGCGCGAAGGCCTAGCCAGGATGGCTGCGGGTGACATCGGTCAAACCGGAGAGGAGGGCGACGGCGAGAAAGCCTCACCGTCAGACCCTACAAGCGGGAGTTTCGTCAACCACCGCGGGCGCAGGAGCGGTGCGGACGGGACATACCCGGGCCAACACCCTGGGAGGTGCAGGCGCCCCGGTCTCACGAAGGGGTACCTGCAGCTCGCATCCTCTCTCCACCCTCGCTGGTTCGCCAAACCGGAAACCACTGCGCTATACCGTTTCAGACAAACGGTTGTCCGATCTCTTTTTCGGACCGTGAAGTTCTACGGTTATCGTCCCGGCACCCACCCACCCACCCAGCAACTCCCCCCTCCCCTCTCCCCTGCAGAAACGGCTTTGCTCTGGAGCGACTGGACCCCCTGGTCCCCCTGCTCCAAGACCTGCTTCTACGCCCCGGATCTGGTCGGCACGCGAAAACGATTCCGGCATTGCAACGGTACGGCGCAGGCCGTCGGGTGCGACGGAGAGAGCGTGCAGGACGAGGATTGTGACACTCCCCTGTGCCCAGGTGAGCAGCTGAAGGGACGCCAAGGGTGGGAGGGCAGAATTTGCACCTGGTGCACCCAGATTCTCCCAGATCGTTCTCCTTCGTTGGAGAAGCTCCTTTCGGGGTACAGGGTCCTGTGTAGATAGTCCTCGACGTACGAGCCCCAATTTCCCTTGCGAAGTGAGGCAGTTGTTAAGCAAGCTTTGCCCCATTTGACGACCTTGATTGGAGCTTAACGCAGGGTTAGCTTTGATTTTCCTCTCATAACTTAAGGTCAGCTTTGATCGCAGCTTAATTCGGGCTTAGCTTTGATTTTCCTCTCATAAATTAAGCTCAGCTTTGATCGCAGCTTAATTCAGGCTTAGCTTTGATTTTCCTCTCATAAATTAAGCTCAGCTTGATTGAAGCTTAATGCAGGCTTAGCTTTGATTTTCCTCTCATAAATTAAGCTCAGCTTGATTGAAGCTTAATTCAGGCTTAGCTTTGATTTTGTCTCTCATAAATTAAGCTCAGCTTTGATCGGAGCTTAATGCAGGCTTAGCTTTGATTTTCCTCTCATAAATTAAGCTCAGCTTGATTGAAGCTTAATTGAAGCTTAACTTTGATTTTCCTCTCAGATATTAAACTTAGCTTTGATCGAAGCTTAATTCAGGCTTAGCTTTGATTTTCCTCTCATAACTTAAGCTCAGCTTTGATCGCAGCTTAATTCAGGCTTAGCTTTGATTTTCCTCTCATAAATTAAGCTCAGCTTTGATCAAAGCTTAATTGAAGCTTAACTTTGATCTTCCTCTCATAAATTAAACTTAGCTTTGATCGCAGCTTAATTCAGGCTTAGCTTTGATTTTCCTCTCATAAATTAAGCTCAGCTTTGATCAAAGCTTAATTGAAGCTTAACTTTGATTTTCCTCTCATAAATTAAACTTAGCTTTGATTGCAGCTTAATTCAGGCTTAGCTTTGATTTTCCTCTCATAAATTAAGCTCAGCTTTGATCGAAGCTTAATTGAAGCTTAACTTTGATTTTCCTCTCATAAATTAAACTTAGCTTTGATTGCAGCTTAATTCAGGCTTAGCTTTGATTTTCCTCTCATAAATTAAGCTCAGCTTTGATCGAAGCTTAATTGAAGCTTAACTTTGATTTTCCTCTCAGAAATTAAACTTAGCTTTGATCGAAGCTTAATGCAGGCTTAGCTTTGATTTTCCTCTCATAAATTAAGCTCAGCTTTGATCGAAGCTTAATTGAAGCTTAACTTTGATTTTCCTCTCAGAAATTAAACTTAGCTTTGATCGAAGCTTAATGCAGGCTTAGCTTTGATTTTTCTCTCATAAATTAAGCTCAGCTTTGATTGAAGTTTAATTGAAGCTTAACTTTGATTTTCCTCTCATAAATTAAACTTAGCTTTGATCGAAGCTTAATTCGGGCTTAGCTTTGATTTTCCCCTCATAAATTAAACTCAGCTTGATTGAAGCTTAATTCAGGCTTCGCTTTGATTTTCCTCATAAATTAAGCTTAGCTTGATTGAAGCTTAATCCAGGCTTAGCTTTGATTGTCGTCTCGTTCCTTCAGCTCAGCTTTGATTGACGTCTCCAACCATCCCGGTTTGGGAATGCCACCCTTCCAAAGCCAGAGGGACCCGAACCCAATCCTCACCCCCCCACTCCCACCCAACAGACACCAGTGGTGAAGGAGGATGGCTTAAACCTGGTTTAAACCTTGTCCAGGTTTAAGCCCCCTCCCCAATGTATCTCCGCAGTGGAGGGAATCTGGACCCCTTGGTCCGCCTGGTCCGTCTGCTCGGCGCCGTGTGACTCCGGGGTGCAGACCCGCAACCGCACCTGCTCCAAGCCGGCCTACGGGGGTCCCGGGTGCTCGGGCCCCCTGATCCAGACCCGGGATTGCCACACGCAGCCCTGCCGAGGTATGGATTTTTTTTAATTTCGTGGATCTATCGCATGTGTCTTATTTTTATAAACAACCAAACACACACACACACACACAAACAAACATCCTATTTTCCCCACAACAGCAGAACGCAACAGACTAGAACTCGCCGTCACCCAGCCGGCTTTCAGGCCTAAGGCGGGACTCGCACTCACCCTCTCCTGGTGATTGGTCCCAAGGTCACGACGAACGCAGGACTAGGGGCCTCGGGGGTCATCTAGTCCAGCCCCCTGCTCAAGCAGGACACCCTGACAGAATCACGGAATGACAGAGTTGGAAGGGACCTCGGGGGTCATCTAGTCCAACCCCCGGACTAAGCAGGAGACCCTTACAGAATAACCGAGTTGGAGGGGACCTCGGTGGTCATCTAGTCCAACCCCCTGCTCGAGCAATTGACCCTTACAGAATAACCGAGTTGGAGGGACCCTCGGTGGTCATCTAGTAAAACCCCCTGACTAAACAGAAGACCCTTACAGAATAACCGAGTTGGAGGGGACCTCGGTGGTCATCTAGTCCAACCCCCGGACTAAGCAGGAGACCCTTACAGAATAATAGATTGGAGGGGACCTCGGTGGTCATCTAGTCCAGCCGCCTGACTAAGCAGCAGACCCTTACAGAATAACAGAATTGGAGGGGATTTGGTGGTCATCTACTCCAGCCCCCTGCTTGAGCAGCAGACTCTTACAGAATAACCGAGTTGGAGGGCACCTCGGTGGTCATCTAGTCCAACCCCCTAAGCAGGAGACCCTTAGAGAATTACATAGCTGGAAGGGATCTTGGAGGTCATCTAGTCCAACCCCGTGACCAAGCAGGAGACCCTTACAGAATAACAGAGTTGGAGGGGATTTGGTGGTCATCTAGTCCAGCCCCCTGCTCGAGCAGGAGACTCTTACAGAATAACCGAGTTGAGGGCACCTCCGTGGTCATCTAGTCCAACCCCCTAAGCAGGAGACCCTTAGACAATTACATAGCTGGAAGGGGCCTTGGAGGTCATCTAGTCCAACCCCCTGACTAAGCAGCAGACCCTTACAGAATAACAGAGTTGGGGGGACCTCGGTGGTCATCTAGTCCACCCCCCTGCTCGAGCAATTGACCCTTACAGAATAACAGAGATGAAGGGGACCTCGGTGGTCATCTAGTCCAACCCCCTGACTAAGCCGGAGACCCTTACAGAATAACCAAATTGGGGGGACCTCGGTGGTCATCTAGTCCAACCCCCTGCTCGAGCAATTGACCCTTATAGAATAACAGAGTTGGGGGGGACCTCGGTGGTCATCTAGTCCTGCCCCCTGACTAAGCCGGAGACCCTTACAGAATAACACAGTTGGAGGGGACCTCGGTGGTCATCTAGTCCTGCCCCCTGACTAAGCAGGAGACCCTTACAGAATAAC